CTAGATTCGCAGGGGACTGAAGAATGGATAACATACGCTGTAGCTGTAGCCAACAACAGTTGAAGCTTCGATCTCTGCTCCTCGACCAAGCTCAGGTAACGCACCATTTTTGGTTTATTGAAGGGCCAAAGGAACTTCCTCGAGGATTTCCTCCATTCTGGAACGTCTAGCTTTTTCTCCAGATCCTCGAGGGCGCTCTTGTAGTCTCTCAAACTTTCATTTTTCGTCCATTCAAGAAGCTCAGGGTATTGCGGGTTGTTCTCATCTCCCTGCGCAGCCAGGATTTGTATTTCCTTAAGCTGTTGGTCAATACTCCGAATCTCGTCCCCCAGTTTCTTGAAATCTTGCTTGCTCTCCTTGACTACATTGCAGTAGTCATCGCAAAGCTTGTAAACTTTCACGCCGAGGTGAATGAGGGCAACGCTAGTGGCAGCCAGAGAGAAGGGTTCTGCCATTTCTTCTCTTGACGGATGCTGAGGGCCTAAGAGGGGAAGCTTAAAGGTGTGGTTATGATAGATTGTTATCTTCCAGTAGGGAAGGATAGGCAAAAACAGTCGTTCGGTTTTAAGGTGGGCGGTCCTGGGAGCTTCGGGCGCTTTTGAGTTGTGCTTTTCAACAGTGTATTCGGGGATGAAGTGGGAGGTAGCGGCTACCCGTAGAGGGGATCTTTTTCGCATTAATGTGCTTTTAAGATTCCCAACAGTGGGGCTCCATAATGCCAGCTCCTACACACAAGAACTGCAACTGCATGCCCAGTCGCGATTGGTGCAACCGCAATACAAGGATTACTCAAGTACCATACGGTACCGTTCAGCACTGGCACACAAAGACTGATGGGAAGTGTAGGTGACCGCTGCATGGTTTAGCGGCTTTAGCGAATTGAGGTCGTATCGGAACCACTGCCTGTAACAGTATCAGAACTGCGATACGATAGACTACTGTACGGGCACTGATAGCATTCAAGTCCCGCACTTGCATTGTGCCGCATAGAGTTCGATAAATGCTGTAGAAAGGGCTATGCTGTGCCTACCACATTCAGTAGCCCCCACCCCCAGCAAAGCCAGTTCATTTAGTGATATATCGGTAGTTGGTTTACCTAACAAATGCGGCATCAGGGGTATCCAGCCGGAGTCTTGAAAAAACTTTGCACACTTCCTTCATAACCCTCGGTCTGGATGACTCTACCGGTATGCAAGGGGTGTGGGTTTATCACCCCAGGTTGCTGTTTAAGTCGCATTTGGTGGGTGTCCTGGCGCGTATTCTCCTCCACGATCGAGTACAATAGGCAAGCTATTTACCTTCCAGTCCTGCGGAGGGAAAGCAGGATGGACACACCTACATCAAATACCCACACACAGAGGTAGATGACGAACTCCGCATATCGACTGGAAATTACCCGTAATATAGACCATGTTTCTTTTCCATCTCAACTAGATTCAGCTCTTCTCTCTTTCTTCCACTCTCACGGGTGTTGCAACACATAGTCACCATATCCAGGCAATTATCTGCGGTGTACGGTACAAGTATCCTACAGGATATCACTAGGTAGCAGAACCATTTCCACAGGAGCAACCCCGGTCGAAGCCACCATCCAATACTGGAACATAACTGATACATTTCCACACCCGTGTTGTCCGAGGACCAGTATTGAAATTCCTTCCCCCAATGTGGCGCTTTGGGGGAGGTAAGCGGCTATTAAGCGACCAATGAATCTAGTGCGGCTCCAGGGCCCCTCACCGGGGTTTGGGTTATTGTACGAGTTATTATGATACATCTTTCATTACCCGTGCCAAGGTTCACACCGCTTAGAAAGACGTTATATATAACATTTGAAGAAATCGACAATGCTGGGGAGTGCCTATCACTTCGGCTTAGCATAAGTCTTTTTCACACGCAATGGGGAATATTTTCAGCAAAACCCCAATTCTATATATCTAACGTTTCTAAAACTCTTGACTTTTATTCCTGTCCTCTACTACTTTACCATGGTATCATACTTTGTATTTAATTTCACAGCTTCTTCGCATTTTTGCGACCTCCTCGCCTGACCGGTTCAGTTTTTGTTTACCTCTCTATGAACAAGATTTCTGGGGGTCTTAGGCTCCCCATAGAAGTGCTCATCTAGCTGTTTGAATATCTATAACCTCGCCCTCCTAGGTTCGATATACGTCGTACATTTGCTTTATGGAATGCAAGGGCCTGGCTGTTATAAAGCTAAATTATAAGGGGTTCAATATGGAACGGGTTTTGTATCTTTATATGGGGCTATTGACCATGCACTAGGTGGTGTATGATAGGAACTTGCATGGAGGTGTTATCGTGTTCGAGTGCAGTCAATTTACTTGCGTTAGACTGTTAGGCGCTTGCAGGAAGTGCCGCCTTCTTCGCGGGTCGCACAGCATCTTTCAAAACGGGTGGAACCTTGGCACGGGTACAGCCGTCAGTACGGGTACCCGATCATCCAGTGCTCGCCTGCAGCTTCCACCCGCACTTGATTGCCGCCTACAGTGAACTTTCCTTCTATCCTCCACCCATTTTCCCTCTTTCGAGCCAGCGATATCTCCAGCTGGCCCGGTTCGACCACTGGGTTTTCAAATAGTGAACAACGCACCGGCACCGACTACGGGGAACAATTTTTCCGGTGAATCGTCATGGATCCTTCGACCTATAATATTCAAAAAATTTCTCTTCTTTAAGAAAACAGTAAGATCCCAGGCTAGTTTTTTAACTAGGAGAAAAAAATCACCCCACAAACTCCAGCACTGACGACCTCAGGAAAAAGGAGGCTAATATGATACCTTGATCTATATTTCATTCTTGCACACATTAGTCTAGGTTCCGGCATAAGGGCAAATATTGAACACTACCGTACTTCTGCTTCCATTTTCAGACTAACTAATGATGGTTGCGGGTACCGGTACGAGTACCGCAGGAACCAGTACCAGTATCAGCCCCGGGGAAGCACACTCTCCGGGAAATGCCGTGACTCAAGGCCATCTAGAACAATTCAAACCACAAAAACCGATGCCGTATGCCCAATGCCGATGAGCATGAAGTGCAAGCCACACAAAACCAACTACCGCAGGTCTAGGGACATACCGGTGTGGCATGAAAAAAACAACTCTCAACCAAATACCGGTAGCCAACTCCGAATATCAGTTAGCACAGGGTGACAACGGGGCCGGGGACCCATGTCTGCGCCCACAGGGAGAGAATGTGAAACCAACAACCCTGCGCCGTACTGGAGTACGGTACATGCACGAGTACAGTGCGTCTACGATATCACACTTGACGCGCAACGAGTACCGCATAGGATAAATATAGAGCTTGCCGCAAGCTCGGAGGGAGGAAATATGTTGGACCCGGGCCAGGAAACAAGGTGTTGCGCTTCATCGCATTGTAACCGAGACAGGTGGCGGGTATTAAAGAGAGCGAGATATAGGAGATCCTGTGATGTGAGGCGACGGGCAAAAATACAGTAAGTTCCATGATGAACGACTTGATCGATAACTTAGGAGCGTGTGGGGGGAATCCAACCTCCTTTTTAAATTTATGTAAGCTCTATCTGTAGCACACTCCCTTGACCTCTGTTTCTGCTACCGCCCCTGCTTTGATACGCTCTTGAATTAGCTATGTGCCTGTTTCGGGTGTCCCGGTTTCAATATTCGCTCCTCAGAGGTGGAATTGATGTGTTAAGCGTGCTGCCAGTTTTTTGGTGCTGTGAGGCCTGAGGTACTTTTGTGAACATCTTATACAGGTACGCTACCATTATCCACGGAGCATAAGTTTGTAATAGTAATTTCAAGTCCATGGTTTCCGGATCAAAGACTTGGCGGCATTATTTACTATGATAGATTTTCCATCAGGAAGCTCCGGTGACCCACACCTATCGCAATGGGAGAGTATTTTTTCCTCTTTTCCCGGTTTCGGTCTCGCCATGCGTTTAGCAGGAGCAAAAGCTTTCTGGGTTTTATTGGTGCACCTCTGGCTACGGTAATTGGAGTTCGGGGTATCCCCAGGGTCAGATCCGTCAAGCTGAAACCCGGAGAGTATGAGTGAAGTTCGTTAGGCGGAAGGTGTACTTAGCGGGGAACCGCAGGTAACAGAGGAAAAGCTCATAGCTGAAGTTGGTCGACTGAATAATTTGAGAACCTATCTAACGTTAGTTATCACAGTAGCCTCCGCCCGGCATGTAGCTAGCAGTGAATGGGAAGTCGAAGAAAGTTGGATTTCGGGAGTACCCGGTGGGAGGAAGTTTGTTGTAGATCCATCTTCATTGTGCACTACCGGTATGAAGTCGGCTGGGTGGCAGTCCAAGCCTGGACCAACTTGAAGGACAGTAACGGTAGCGTGATTCGAACAGTACTGTCCGCACGCGGATGAATCACCGAGGCTTTGCTGTGGCAGACGGAAATACGGCTAGGTTGCACATGCCAAAAAGGAGTCTCCTCAGGCGGGGAGACCGTGCGCATAATAAGAGACTTGGAAATTAAAATTTACTGGAGAAAACCACACCGCACACAAAAAATCAATCGCTACACAACCAAATTCTTTCAACAAAAAAATGGAATGCTTCCAAGAGGTTCTAGTGCATAGAGTTAATGGTCTCCATATTCTTAATTTTTGATTCCGTGGTGGGAATATTCATGGTAAACTGTAAGCAACTCTGTCAGAAATATTTGTTGCAATCCTCTTTCGGGAAAGGAGACCGCTTAGCGTTGTCGAATTAGGAAAGATGTCTGTATTGAGCTGCGCTCAGTCTCCCCGCCCGAGGAGTCTCCGCCAAAATCGGTATCTGCTGCCAAGAGTACTCCTAGGGAGGCTGCCAGATTAAGCAACTGATGAAAGTTGGGTGACTCCGGAGCCTCACACTCTCGGGCCGGAACTGTTGGCGCCAGGCGCAGAGCCGCAAACCACAGAGCCCTTCCCACGTGACTTCTAATTACATCCTAGTGCTCTGAGAACCTTCCCTTCCCCCTACCCTCGAACTCATATTCCCTACCGTACACCAAGGCCCTGATACGCGAAGAAGGGTTCGGAACCAGCGTCACGACAATGCCACCATGCTCCGTATCCTCGTTTGTTAAGTCACTGGATTTTCCAAGCGATAAGCATCCTACCAGTCGCAATTCCCTACCACATTATTCCCCAACATTTCCGCCTTGACAGTCCTTTAACCCCCCAAAGCTTTTCTCCCGCTAGAGGGCAGTAGGTGTTCAGGTTAGCTCTCTAACTAACAGTGGTAAATTCATACGGGGGAGGAATTGCCTTCAAGAAGGGAGGAGTCTTTAGGGAACTTCGGCATTGACGACATCGAGACAATTAAGGGGGCGGTGACATTGGCTATATTACCCGAATCTACTTTTCATTTCTGCTCACACTCATTTTGATCCTTATATCTCAACAAAGACTAAACACCCGGATGCTCCCAGTTCCGCACTCCGCGATACATGCGAGCCTAGCGCGGAGAACAGTACTGTTCCCCAGCCCAGCCCTTCCCATCGCATCCAACCCTCTTCTCTTCGGATCGCAACCGGCCCCCGGCCCCTCTGCCCCCTACGCTATCCAGTTTCCTGTCCATCCTCGCGCATTTAGCTTTCCGTCATGACATATTCGGACCCAACCTCCTCTATTGCATTCCGCCACTCCTCGCCCAATATTCTCTTTCGGCTTTCCTGCCTTCTCTACAGGGACACAGTGGGTAGACCTTGGTTGATAGCCGCATTCCGCCCGTTCCGTCTCTACCGCCAGATGAGTGTACGCTCGGTTCCATATTGGGAGAACTCTCCCGTACTTACTTTCGTCAATCTAACGTTGGTATTTAAGCAGGCTATCAGTCAATCCCGTTTTCTGTTTCTACTTTCACCCGCGTCGCAGCCACGCCCAACATCTGTTCCACTTCTACCCTACTTCACATCTATTGCGTGTAACAAATGCAACCGCTTGAATGTATTGTATATACCACGGACTACTGCCCCAATCCTACTCCCATTCCAACCAGGAACGGCTCCGCACTTAACGAGTTATGGCAAAAGTCGCACAGGTTTCCCCTGCTAGGTCTGGAGGGCGGCGGGGCTTCTTGGACAACAGTATTCCCCGCAGCTTTGCATATATAATACAGGCTAACTGCAGCTCACAGCTCATCCGGTCTTGATCCAGGAACGGGCGTGCTAGATTGTTGACGAATTCTGGATAGAAATTTAAGCTATTCTCTATTTCTTTTCCTCGTCTCCTACAGCATATGTCCGCCACTGCCACCCCAACGGCTAGGGCGTTAGACTACCCCTGTTTCTGTGTCACATCCAGGGTAGCCTTTGGGGTCCCTTGCCATACCCGAAAAGTACCGCACTTCTTCCCCTACCGGGCCTACAGCACTTGCGATTTATCAAGAGGAAGGCTTAGGTGACCGCTATGAGGCCAACACCGGTTCTATGGCTTTTTTTTCTTAGGGCACATCTCATGATTAGCTTCTTCAGCATTTCCTCCTTTCGGGGCCTCCAGAGACTGCCGACTTTTTTATGAACTGTTTATTGGTCACCCTGCTTTTACCATTTCCTTGTGGCCTCCGATTCTGTCATCTGTTCTCCGGGGATCCCATCTGGGGCAAGAATTCCATCCAAGCATCGTGACCCCCCTCCCCAGTGCCTCAAGTGTCTGTCCGGTCCTCCGCCTCTATATCACGGGTTTCGCAGGACCAGATTCCCCCTTCTCCGGAATAAAGTACACGGCCCCTAAACTACTTCCCCACTAAAGCCCCGCCTGCCGCCCCAGGCTACTTGCTTTACTAGGCAGATAATTTGAGTTTCGGCTATCCAGGGCAGCGACAGGCGGGGCCTAACATCGTTCGCGCAAACCACACTTCCGTTTCTGTAGAATCTCGCTCCCAGGCTGCCAGCAGGGCATTGAGGTGAACTCGGGATGAGTGTGCCTACAGGTGAGTGGGGGAAAGGGGGGGGGATTATCAGGAGGGAAAGTGGACTAGGGCAATAGAGGGTTGAG